TTTTAAAACCAAAAAAATTCATGAATTTTCTGCAAAAAAATTGAAAATTTTTTTTTCTAGTTTTTTGAGTCATTTTTCTTCAAAAGTTTCGGTCCAAATTGCCTATATAACTATGACTGTCTAATATGCCTAAATTCTAGTTTTACGTCAGATCCTTTTCACACCACGCAGAAAAAGTTACAAAAATTTGAAAAAAAAAAACATTTTTTTCGTAGTTTTTTAGGACTATGGTCGGAACATTTTGTGCTACTTGCACAGTAACCGGCTGTCATTGTTAATCATTATGTTTACAGTAATTTATTATAGTTACAGTAATTTTTGTGGTTACAGTAATTTTTTTTCCGACCATTGAAAATGGGGAGGCACTTTGTATACAGGTGTGTTTTATCTTTTAAATTTTTTTTCACGCAAAATTAGGTACCACAAATAATCATCGGATTGGGTTGAGTGGTATATCATATTAAAGCCCTTTCAGTCGTGATTCGAGCGAATTTTTAAAATTTGCAAAAACAAATACCCAGTGTCCAGAAAAACCGGTTTGACGTTTTTGCTTTTTCGTCTATTTTCGAGCGAGTAAAGCGATCGAGTAACGTTCGTTATTTATAAAAATTACCCGCTTAGGCTAAAATTGACTATTTTACTGAAAGAAAACATTGTTTTGGTGGATGCCTTTTATAGCGCTTTTCTGGCAAAAAATCTCTCTAAAATAATTGAATTTTTTTGAAAACAATGGTAGTCTTTTATGCCTAATTCACTCAATTTCTAACGCGTTTGTATGGCTCTATCATCACACGGTGTACAAGAAAAGACACTATCTTGAGAAAAAATCTGAGAATGTGGTCGGAACATTCTGTGCTACTTGCACAGCAACCGGCTATCCTGGTTATATTTATTTGGTTACAGTAGTATTAGTGGCGAATACTGATACATGCGCAAGATACCTCTCGTACCGATTTAAGCTCAGCGCAGCAAGCGCTCGATACTCGCCAATGACTTGCTACGATTTGTCATCCAACCGCTCAAGACCTTTTGATTTGCTGGGGCTCAAAAAATTAGAATTTTTCTGTGTATTTAAGCTCTAGAGTGTTATCTTGAGACCAAAGAACTTCTTTCTACTTGCCCTTTATATGTGACATACGGGTAATTTTCTAGGTAAAGTATTGTATAGCTATCTTTGCTTTAAGATTCTGCAGTCCAGCCGAACACAACCCCAGCTATGGGTTACTCTGAAGAGCAGTCTCGAAGTTTATTCAGTTGTCACCTCTGCAGCTACAAGGCCACCCGAATTGAACTAGTGCGATCCCACCTTCGCAACTATCACAGCAGTTTGCGACCATTCAAGTGTATTCTGTGCTCTCACTCGTGCAAAACACGCTGCAATTTAATCAGTCATTATCGTGGGCTTCACCGCATGGACATAGAAGAAGCTAGAAGGTATGCTAAAAGTAGCCATGTCATGAAATATGGTCCAAACGTCTCCGCCCATTTTGCCGGCCCAGCTATTTCTATGAATCGAGCGTACGACAGTAATATTTCGTCAGCTTCAAACCCACTCGCTAGTGAAGCGGCGGCGATGAGTGCTCAAGCAATGACAGCGGCAATTGAGAGCTCGGAGCAAGTCGTGTCGGCTCTACTAGCCGAAGACGACACTGGCGAGAGTAATTCGAGCCAAGGAAGTTGATTTATTTTTATTCTCTCAGACATGAATTGTATTCTTTTTGCAGATGTTTCAAAGTTGTTATTAGTTAAGTGTCTGATTTATATCTTTGTATTTATATCTTTCATATTTGCGAAATTTATTTGACGTTTAAAGGATTTTTTTTTCAACTCATTGAAGTAATTTACTTCATTGGTACTTGCTTATCTTCTGAAAAGCGAATATAGCTTAAGGCTACTGGTTGCTGCATGAGACAGAACACAAACTTCTAAAACCGATGCAAGATGAACACACATAACATAAATGCAGGTTTTTGTGATCTGAAAAACTAAAACATTGCTCAGAAAAGCTCAAATTTAGTATAATTTACGAACATATTGGCACTGTTTATGGGCAAGTTCTTTATCTCCAAGAGCATAAAAACGGGAGACGAAAACTAAAAATTGAGTTACAGTAAGAACTTTTATCAAGACCTTTTAATCAGATTTTCATCCAACGGTGTTTTGAGGTTGCCAATAGTCCAATTAGCGCGATAAGATCAAATGTCTTAAAATAATTCTATCACTGAGACAGAAGTAAAAGGAAAACACAAAACATCCACTCATGTATCAAATATGAGGAAGCTTGCAACATTTAGACTCCATGCGTTTTCAGACTGCGATGTCTCAATTTAAGAAAACATTTGATGGAACCAAACTGAAGACAAACCTGAAGCTGGCGATAAATCGACTCAAGCTTTTGGAGAAAAAGAAAAGTCAGTTCAGATTTGTTTTTGATGAAGCTTCTTTTGTCGACACAACCTCAGATTAATTTTTTTTTAGCGGAGCAAAATCTGAAGGCAAGAAAAGAGATTTCAGAGTATTTAGTTGCGTGTAAAAATGACAGAGCTCGTGTGAGGGTAAGTCATTATTTATTTAAGTCATTATTTATTTATAGATTTAGTTATAGATTTGACTATAAAAAAGGTATTTCCCTATAATTTGAGCATGCGATCACCAAATCAGCTTAATTGAGCTTCACAGTCTTCAGGCGTGTGGTTGTGACCTTTTTCATCTCTCCTCGAACGCACAAGTGTTTTTTAAATGGGCTATCGAGTGCTTTACAGGGCTATGAATGAGGACCAAGTGCGTTTGGAATAGCTTAATTATTCAGCACGCCTCATTTTATACAATAAAGTTATTTCCATAATATTTTGCAGGTCGGGAAAGAAAAAAGTTGTCTGCATGTTAATAACAACAAATACGGGTGATTATTTGGCTCATGAGCAGGGGAGGATCCAGGATTTTCTCGAGGGGTGGAGTGGATTTCCAAAAAATGTTCTAGACATTTTTTTTGGGCCAAACATGTTGATTTTCTGAGCTCTCTGAAGAGCTTCTGAGCTCTCTGAATTTTTGAAGCGCCTACGTTGCCCAATTTTTTGTATCACAGGCATTTTTTGAAAAAAAAAACAGGCAAAAAATTTTTTTAGAAAGATTTTACCAAAATATTGCCTTTTTTCAGCCCCACGCCTTAGTTAGTATATATTGGCGCCTTCAGAAATATTTTAGGTCAGTCAGCCGAAAATGAAGATCTCAAAGTAGTAAAGAGGTGGGACCCTTTCGTTCGGCAGGGGTCAAATCTCTTTAAACATTTGATTGCCAATAAATTAATACAGTTTATGCATTTTCAATTCATCAAATGAACCGAAGAAAGCTTACGTTTATCGGCGTGGTTCCCGTATCCCGTTGATTTGCAGGTTCAGTTTTCTTCGACGTTCTTTATTGCACCTGTGCTTGAGAAAATAAAGCCAGCCCGAGAGTTCTATTTCAAACGAGGCCTGTTTTTTTGCAAAATGAAAATTTTGGGCTAGTTTTGATTGTTGTCCGTCTGCTTTGTCGGCTTAGTTCCGCAGAGAGGATTTTTTGAAACTTCTTTCTTGCATTCTGAAAGCTACTTGTGAAAATCTATTTTTACGGACTAAATTTTTTTCAAGTTTTGACCGTTTTGTCCCAAAAGAGAAACTGCATTGTGCGAACTTGAGAAAACTTATTGCTTTTGTTTGAGACTGAATAAAGTATTGAGGAAAAGAAAATATTGACTGCTGAACATTAGTTTTTGTTCTGAAAATCAATAAAACGCCTCCCGATGGAAAGTTTTAATAAGACCTGAAACAATGTAGCTATTCTTTTCAATAGAGCAGTGTTGAAGAGAATAATGTTAGAATAATGAATCAATCAACTGACAGTGAAAAGTTAGCTTTACTGTTAAATTCGTGAGATAATATTTTCCCAAAATGATGTTTTGCCACTTGTTAGATACCTATCTACTTCATTATCCTGTTGAAATCTTTTTTCAAAGGGATATGATTTCATTTGTTGACTCAAAGCGTATTCTTGTCAGAAATAAAGCACGCCCTAAGTTCATAAATCTGCAATCGCGCTCTAGGTAAGGTATCTACTAAACAGTCAGTTTATGCTCCCTTTCAACTCTGATATATATTCGCGCCTTAAGAAATTATTGAGGTTGGTGAACCTTAAGAAAGTTTGGCAACCACCCTCAGCACGCTACAATCTCATTACTCGACCCATTCTTTTATATGGTGGATTGTTAGGTACTTTCTCACGAATCAAATCCGGTTCTTTGATTTATTAAGAGTCGATGCTCATAGTTCGGACGCTTATATAAATGCTGATGATTTCTTTTTTTTTTGCAGGAAAGTCTTACTTTTTCGCGGTTTGACTTATGATTTTTTTTTAAGTTCAGTTCATTTCTTTTGTTAAAACAAGGCAAACTCCACTATCGAACAGCAAAAGTGTAAAGATCACGAAAAACATGATCGACTTCTAGTTTCTACTTCTAATTTTCGAAAGTTCAGTTTTCAGGCTTACCAGCGGAATAAAAAGTTTACCTATTGATCTAGTTTTCTCAAATTGTGTTAATTTAAAAGAGTGTCAATCATAGGCTGTTATAGAATTTCAAAAGGCTATAAGGGCATCTTTAATATTCGAAAGTTCAGATTTTTTCAAAAAAGTCATTGTTTTTTTCTGTTGACGTGCGTTGATTGGCTTTTCCATCTGCCTGTTGGTTATGTTTTTGTAGGTGGAACAGATAATCCGAGAGGACTACTTGGTGGAGGCGCTGGAGATGGTGGAGATGAACTGTGATCTACTTCTGGGAAGAATCGGAATCATGGAAACATGCTCCAACGAGTCAGTGCATGTTCAATCTCTTCTCACAGACAGGCCCAGTTTAGAGGGAGGGAGGAAGGGAACCATAATTATTACACTTGCCAGAGCAGGTGTCTTGTAATCGAGGGGCTATTCTCATGCGCGAAGGACCAAATGGTCGAAAAAACTCGTGAGCGAAGGATCGAAAACAAAATTAGCCGAAAGTCAATTTTTAAAAAGAAGCAATTGTTATTCATTTAAAATGAATTAAATGAAGCAATATTTTGCTTCTTTCATAACGAAACCCTTGAAATATAAAAAATTTTCCAATTCGGCGGCGGTCAGTGATTATTTGAAAATGTTGCATATTTCTGCCGTTTTTATATTCGGGCAATACTAATATTCGGTCTCTGGAAGTCCTACCTTTAATTTTCGCGCATTCGGTCCTTCGCGTATGAGGGATTCCACCTTGTAACAAGACTTTTTTCCATAAACATCTCTTACAAATCTAAGTTGCTTTGCTAAGTTGCTTTATTATTACACATGCAATGCTTGTGTTATAGTACGATTTCACTTTTTTCCAAGTACAAGTATTGTTGCGACAAAATGTGTTCATTTTCAAAGTGTTCATTTTGATCAATCACCAGCTATTAAACTAAGCCAATGCTAAAGATATTAACAGAGACTATTATATTGCAAATTCCTGTTTGATAAAAACAGGTATTATGAAAATGAATGGGATCGGGTTTTTTTATTATTTTTTTGAGACGCTTTGGAAAATTTTGTTTTTCTCAAAAACTACTCTGCCAAAAAATCAGGAACCTCAGAAAAGTCAAATTTACTTCTCGAAAATTACCCTCCCAAAATCTAAGGTTTTGGTTTCAATGAGTAAAATTGGTCGTCGGAAGCTCCGCTGCATAAATAATCATGCCTGAATTTTTTTACACGAAAAATCAGGATGCTCTGAAAAGTCAAATTTTCGATTTTTTGACCGTTTTTTCAAACTTTTTTGACTTTTCTCGAAAACTATCCTCACAAATTTGAGATTTTGGTTTCAAAAGGTAAAACGGGTTGTCAGAAGCTCCCCTGCATCAGCGGTTACGCCCAAGTTTTTCTACATGAAATGTTATGACCCTGGGAAAAGTCGAATTTTAGAATGATTTGTGAAATTTTTCTTTTCTCAAAAGCTACCCTCCCGAAACGAATCTGAGATATTGGTTTCAGTTTGAACAATTAAAGAATTGATTGTGGGAAGCTCAACTTCATAAGTAGATACGCCCAATTTTTCTTACAGAAATACTTATGACCCTCGGAATAGTCAGGTATTATGAAAATGAATGGGATCGGGTTTTTTTATTATTTTTTTGAGACGCTTTGGAAAATTTTGTTTTTCTCAAAAACTACTCTGCCAAAAAATCAGGAACCTCAGAAAAGTCAAATTTACTTCTCGAAAATTACCCTCCCAAAATCTAAGGTTTTGGTTTCAATGAGTAAAATTGGTCGTCGGAAGCTCCGCTGCATAAATAATCATGCCTGAATTTTTTACACGAAAAATCAGGATGCTCTGAAAAGTCAAATTTTCGATTTTTTGACCGTTTTTTCAAACGTTTTTGACTTTTCTCGAAAACTATCCTCACAAATTTGAGATTTTGGTTTCAAAGGGTAAAACGGGTTGTTAGAAGCTCCCCTGCATCAGCGGTTACGCCCAAGTTTTTCTACATGAAATGTTATGACCCTGGGAAACGTCGAATTTTAGAATGATTTGTGAAATTTTTTCTTTTCTCAAAAGCTACCCTCCCGAAACGAATTTGAGATATTGGTTTCAGTTTGAACAATTAAAGAATGGATTGTGGGAAGCTCAACTTCATACGTAGATACGCCCGATTTTTCTTACAGAAATACTTATGACCCTCGGAATAGTCAAATTTTTATTTGCAGCTTTTCGAAAGTCAAAAATTAGTTCTTAGCAGTTTTTCTACTAATTGTCATGAAACTTACCATCTCAAACCTGAAATTTTAGGTTCAATGAAGAAAGGAAGGGTTGAGAGAAGGTCGTCTGTGTCAGCGCGCAGGTTCAATTTTTCTAACACAAAAAGTTATGGCATTCAGAAAAGTCAATTTTTTGATTTCTTGTCCATTCATTTAAACTTTTGACTTCTCGAAAACTGATATCAAAAGTTGAATCAAGGCAACAGGTTATAAGATGCCTCCGTTTATAAACTGCTACGCATTGAATTTTGAACAAGAAACATGTTTTTGGGAAAATTCCAAAATTACAAATTTTTCACTCATTTTTTTAATAGAGCAACAACCAAGGTTTTTGGTGAAGCCCTATGCTTAAAGTTTTTTAAACTACCTACCTCATCCCGCATCAGTACTACATTTCAAAAAAATATCAAACCGGTACCTCCAGCTTAAGCTGGGCCTCTAGAAGCACTTGAGCTTCAAGGTAACATGGATCTGTAGCGTAGAGGTAGGGAAGGAGACCCGCAACAAAATAAGAGGGTTCGAACCTGGGCACGGTCGGATGTTTCAAATGAACTTTTTCGTATACTAGTTAAAATGCGTCCGCTCTATAAATTGAGGTATGTTATTTGGTAAATTTCTTTTTTTTTTTTCAAATTGACTGGTACTGCTAATGCGTTATAATTGGCTTGCGTCATTTAGCAATCATGTAGACTCATAACTGGCGTGCGTCACTTAAGAAGTTTTGTAGACTCAAAGTTCTATGCATTCAATTTTCCCCGCAGGTCATATTTTTTGCTTGTGTATGCGAAATGCAACTTCGCCTCTGAGTAAAACATTAACAACGTCCAGGTTCGTTCCCACTTGGTCTAGTGCTAACGCCTTTCCGCCCTAGTGTCAGGGGTTCGGCCGCACCTTATTTTATTTCAGTATGCATGCAATTGAATTTTTTTCCGGTAACAATTGTATTGTCGGACTTTCGTTTATCTGCTCAAGTTTTGCCGGCTTAGTTGCCCATCACGGGTTTTGCTTGTGTTTCGTTTTAAGCAATTCTAATTGTACTTTCAAGTGCAAGTGTTGTTCATTGCAGTTTCTGGAGGACTTGAAATTTCAAAAAGTTAAATAATTTTTTTTCGGCTCAACTGGTGTCTGCTCAAAGATGCTCAGCTTTGTTTCCTTCGTATGTTTTGTTCCGTTGCTATTTTAGTAATTAAATGTCTGTTTTTTATGTTTGCGTTGTATCCACTTCGCCTGTGTACGGAATCTATTCGGCGGCAAAATAAAATCTCAAAAAGCCAGGTCTGCCTGAAAAGTGCTTGATGTCGAAGCATTCGATGGCCATAATATTTGAAAGGTTTCAAAAGTCTTTCGAAACTGAATGGCTTGTTATTACACTTGCGAGCGTAATGAATTAGTACGAACCTTCTTTTTTTCCCAACCTTACTTGCAAATAAAAGTGCTCATTTGGTGGCACTTTTGCTATAATCACAATCCATACCACTGGAAATTTCTTAGCATCTGTTCTCTGCTTTATTTGTGGCTAGTGGTTGACGGTTGTTAACCGTCAGTGGTTAGTGTGTGAGACTCATAATATCTTGGTCGCAGGATCGAGTCCGACACAGCCGAATTTTTAGGCTTATTTCTACCTTTTCTTATTGCACTTTATGGAGCTGTTTTTCGTCGTGTTCTCGCTAGTGTTGGCGAAGCATAGCTTCCTTTCTGTGAAAAATTTTTTGTGACTTTTTCATTACCCCTGAGGCTACCCAGTGCAAGACCTTCCTCGGGAATGGTATTGCTATTCTTGTTGATGCAACCGTACCTTGAGGAGGCGGATAACACTGAGATCCCTCCGACCGTAACCGGAGTGGGATTCGAACGCACGACCCTCGTGTTATGAGCCGCGCGCCTTACTTACTCGGGCCGCTCTTACGGCACTTAAACTTGAGCTAAACATGGCTTACATCCTTCCCCCGTTTTGATCAAGACAATCCTCCCACTCCGCTGTCGCACCACTTATTTTCTTTACAGGCAGATATGAAATATTGATATCAAATGAATGTAATTTAAGAGTGGTGCCTATGGACCTGGAAGAGTGTTTGTCCAACATTCTGTTCGCCGCGCCCAGAATCTACCAGGATATCAACGAGATGTCGGAGATATCGAAGCAGCTGCAGAGGAAATTCAAAAAGGAAGCCTTTGCCCAGCTGCAGCAGAACTCCACGCGGAAAGCCAACCCGAAACTGGTCAACAGGCTCGACATCAGGTAAAGTTATTGAAGAAATGGATCAGATAAAGTCTCCCCCACCCAAATAGACCAAGTTAAGATCCTCTACCCCAGCGCTGAATTTAAATTAAATTTGTTAAGCGCTGTATGTAAAATGCTCGATTCTGATTGGCTGAAAATTCCCAACTTAGAACTAAGTTAACATCCTCCCCCTAAACGTGTTTAGGGGGGAGGATGTTAACTTGGTCCGTTTTGATATGCATTTTGTATGAAGATAGTTTGACGTAAGTAATTGAATTGCGTTCGTTCAGAGTATGCACACGCGTTGAAACAAAAGCAGCAATAAAAGTGATCGGTAACTTTTATGTGCGACCGATGCGGACGCGATATAAGCGCAAGCCGTCAGCTATTTTAAAAGCAGTATCAGAATAAATGTTATTCAAATTTTCACTAAACGCAGAAATCGGTGCTTGTGTTACTTAATTTGACATAATTGTTCGAACTTGGAAGAAATTAACGGAATATATAGTTTATTCAGGCTAATTTCGCGGTGATTGAAATATTCATTTTTGCGGATTTTGTACGACAAAAAGCGAAATTTGTGTCAAACGAAAGGCGATGAAAACACACAAGTGTAAAAGCGAAAAGCAATTTCTTAAATTGGTGATAGCGCAAAACAATTTTCAAAAGAAATGCGAATACTCAGTTGTATGTTCTCGCAAAATCAGTTACCTCAAATATTAAGCGATCCTACCAATTGGATCGAGTGATTAGTTATATTAAAACCACTGCAGTCGTAGTTCAATAGCTATTTTTTTACGTTTGCGATTATCGAATCGGAATATGTACTTTTTTTGAGATTCGATTTTTTTCTCAGCCCAGAAAACCGGCTCGAACAATTTTTTCCTTTTTAGAGACAGGGGAGAGCAAGTGGAGAAAAAATTTACAATTAAGCTTGTAAAAACTAGACTTTCAGCTGTGAAAAACTATTTTTTGAAGTTTCATTCAGAGCTTCTCCGGTACCAAAAGTTCAAGAATTCTTCTACAAAAAGGTTTGGTAAATTATATGAAAAATTAGTTTGAAAAGATAAATGTAGCCAATGTTCAGCTCCCCTCACCATACTCGCATGCGAAAACGACTAAATGTGTGCTCTACAAAAATGACAAATCGTAACCTTCTGTGCTACTTGCAGAGCAACCGGAAGTTCTTATTACTCATTTACTACTGGCAAGCGCTGTGGATGTCAAATCTAAGCAGGTTGTGGCAGTGGTTAAAAACAAATCTTGTGTTCGAATAACAAAACACCTAATTTGAGAAGTGGTTTGATTTCAGACCCCCTGCAAAGTCCTTGGTTGAAGCTTACTTGGTGGAGATAGCCGAGTCACACAAAGTTGACTTCAAACCAGACCCGCATGCGCTGGTAAGCAGATTTGAACATTGTCTCAACAAAAGGTTTTCTTCAGAACAAAAGTCAAAAGCTTTCTTTTGGCTTACCAAATGATTCTTCGATGTTTTTGTTCCGAACATTGAAGCTCAGCAAACAAAAATTTTACATAGTTGATGCAAGCTTACTTTTTCTGTAATTGATAGCACCGTTAAAACATTTGATTTTCAAAAACCCTTCGCTCGGACCAATGAAAATGGGAAGGATCAAGTTATTCGGGTGTTTTATTTTTTTCTTTTTGTTTTCCTCACAAAATCAGGTACCACCAATGATCATCGGAATGAGCCGAGTGATATATCATAAAAAAGCCCTTTTAGTAGTGATTCGAACATTAAAAAACTATGAAAAAGTTGTCCCAGAATCGAGAAAAACTGGTGTGAGATTTTTAAAATTTAGTCTAATTTCGAGCAAGTAACGAGATCGACTAATGCTCGCTATCTGGAAAGTTATTGTTTTTTTTACTTGATTTTACTATTTACACAAGCACAGGGCTGTATTACTGTATTATTACGAAGAATTTTTTTCTAACCTAAGTCGCAAATAAAAGTTCTCGTTTGGTGTTAATTTTGGTTTATTTCAATTTAATCATAGTTAAGCTTATTTAAGCACAAACAAATTGAAGGAATATGTGGCTGCTTTATTTTAAGCTAGTGTTGGATCCTGTTTAAAAAACCTGTATAATGAAATTGTATAGAATTTGATGTTTTTCGTTTTTTTTGCGACACTTAGGACAATTTTTGCACTTTGGAAAATTTCGGCCTAATATTTGTGTGCTTATGTTTTGTCGGCTTAGTTGCCACATCTATTATAGATTATTTAGGCTGTAAACTTTTCTCACTGCAGTTGCTTTCAGCGTTGTTTTTTTCATTTTTTTTATCAGCTGAATTGATATCATTTTGGTGGCCTCATAATACGTCTTTACGACCGAAAAAAGTTTGTGTGCGTGTGTGCTCTGAGAGGAAAATGGACTTAAGATTTTTTATAAGTTCAGAATTTTTCGGCATGAAGGGTTTCTTAAGTATTTTCGGCTTTGTTACCGCTTGATAATTATAAATTGAAACCAATCACCGATCTGGCGTAGAGATAAAAACAAAAGATTTAGATGGCAAAGGCTTGCGCTTCAAATCTGGCCGGGCTCTTTTCTTGTAAACTAGTTTTTCTGCTTTTTCGGACTGTCTACCGTCTGTTTGTTTTTGTCGGCTTGGTTACCCTAGCTCGATATTTCAGCTTTATTCCAAGTTCCTGTAACTCCCATGCTTAAGATGACCAAGCCTGGGAGTTCGATTCCAGTTGAGACCTGTTTTTTTTTTTGCATATAGAAAATTTTAGCTAATTTAGATTATTGTCTGTCCGCATTTTTTTTCTGCTTAGTTCCGCAGGAAAGACTGGTTTTTTGAAAACTTGTCTTCAATATAGCATTCCCAAAGCTCTTTGTAGAGTTTCGAATGGTGCAGAATATTTTGCTCCGGATATTTTGCACTTTTGTTGCAATTTTATTGACAAAAACAATTTTTGGAAGTTTTTCATTTTTTCGTTTGATTTTAATCATAGCCATTCAAGTTTGTATGGCAAGTGGTGCGAAGCTCAGCTTCGCCTCTGTGTCAAAAATTACTGTACCGATTTTCAAAAAACTGGTAACAAAAGAACAACCGGCTGCTTTTCTAGGTGCCTGCATAATTCGTTATTATCTTGTTTCATTTTACCTTACGTTCTACGGCCTTCGAAAGTTTCAGTAGGGGGATTTTTGGCCTACTTGTTTTCAGTTTTTCATCTTGTCAAATATTAAATGCACAAATCTGAAATGAAAGTTTCAATCAAAAGAACAAATTATGGAGATCTCCCCCTTCTCAGGCGGCTTTTTCATAATTTTGGTAGAAAAAGGTTATGGCCTCAAACAAGCCCATCTTTTGACATTTTAATATTTTTTTTTTAATTTTTTGACTTTCTCAAAACTTACCCCCTGTCAAATCGGAGATTTTAGGGTTTAACCGAAAGAAAAAATTACTTATCCGAATCGTACCTGCGCAAGCGGCTATGCCCTGCGTTTTGGCCTTCAAAAATGTCTTATTTTTGAAATTTTGCCCGTTTTTTATTATCGGAAAACTTATTTTTGTTCTTCTAAAACTAACCTACTGGTTCTGAAGTTGACAGTTCATTTAAACTGACATTATGCTTCGATTTTTCCTGTGTAATCTTTTGAACCCTGTTTTTTTTAGAAAAGCTGATATGGATTTCCGGAAAAATTTCTTTTTATATGTTTACCGTTTTTTTGGAAATGTCATCACTATTCTCGAAAACTAATAGCTAAATCTGATATTAAGGTTTCAAAAAATTGAGGTGCGGAAATTTTAAGCTTAAAATCAGGGTGTGGCAAGTAGAGTTTATTCCCATGCTTTACAAGAGAAAAGTTATTGGATTGAGGAAAAAACAATTTTTGAATTTTTGATCGGCTCTTTTAATTTTTTCGAAAACTACCTAGCCAAATCCGAGACAAAGACTTCAATTGAAAGAGTGCGTAGTAGTTTTCTCTTTTAAACAAGCGGTTAATCAACTACTTGAGAAGAGAAACACAAGGGTTTTTACATAGTCTATTTACTGAAATTTTGAAAATTACACATTTCCGTATCAGTACAGTATATGATTAGCTGGGTCACTAATTTACTTCCTAGTGACCGTGGCGCAGATGCGACGACGTGAGACTCCTGATCAACGGGTCAGATATTCAAATCCGGAGCATTTGAATAGTTTTTTATGGTTGACTTTTCGCTGCGTAACATTGGCAATTCGATAGAAACTGTAGCTGCTCTATTGGTGGCTAGTGTTAGTTAAAATAAAAGCGGTTGTAGAGCAGATGTGATACTCCTAATCCCAACAAGACTTTTCAAGGTGTTTTTTTATCTTCTTATTTCACTTTGTTTTGCCTGTTTAGAGCTCTTTTCTTGCATTCTCCTCGTGTGTTTGCTAACCGCAGCTTGCCTCTGTAAAAAAAATTTAGTGTGAGATGTTTCATCTAGCGGTTGTTTGGCAAAAAAGATTTTTGTGCTAAAATTTTTTTCATTTTTTGTTTTTTATTTATTTTTAAAGACAAATATCGATCGATCATCATGCATAATTTAGTAATTTTAGTTATACGATCGTATAGTTCTCGTATCACAAAACCCACTAAAAATGGCACTTGATTGAAGAAAAGTAATAAAATATATTTTTTCTGTTTTGTGAATATTGTGTGCTACTTGCACTGCCACTGGCTATCTTAGTGATTTTTTGCCATTTTCATTTAAGTGCTCGCATACACAAGAGAACAGAGCTAATTGCAGAATCAGGATTCATTGTCTAAAATGTCTGTTTTCAATGTCAATGTCGGAAAAAATTTCGTAAGGCCTTTAACTTTTTTTTTTCAATGGACCCAGAGCAAATTATCTTTTTCATTTTTTCTAATCTAACTGGCAAATAAAATTGTTCGTTTATTTGGTGGCAATTTTGCTATAATAACGATCTGTAACATTGGAAATTTCATAGCATCTGTTCACTGCTTTATTTTTGGCTAGTGTTTGTGATTTATTAAGTGTTGTTGACTGAGTGGTTTGTGTGTGACATTCATTACACTTGCAATCAGCTTATTGTATAATAACGAACCTCTTTTTTCTAACCTAACTCGCAAATAAGTGGTCAGAAAAGTTGTTCACTTATTTGGAAATTTAACTGTAGCATTGGAAATTACAAAGCATCTGTTCTCTGCTTTTTTTATGCTAGTGTTCGGAACTAATTAAGCTTCCTTGGCTGAGTGGTTAGTGTGCGAGACTCTTGGTCGCAGGTTCGAATCTCAGACGTAGCAATTTTTTTTTAATAATCCGATGCTTATTTCTAATTTTTCTTTTTGCACTTAATAAGAGCTGCTTTTTGTCGTGTTCTCGCTAGTGTTTGCGAAGTGAAGCTTCGCCTCTGTAATCTCTAAGTCGTAGATCGAATCCGAGACGTAGTCGAATTTTTACTAATTCGAGTCTTATTGTGTGAATGTTTAAAAACTTTGTTTTAAGTTATTACCAGATTTTTTTGGGTCTTAAAAAGCCAGTTTTCACTCACCTTGGGCTGTAGGTTTTTTTTAATTTCTCAGCGAGACTATTGAATGTTAAACTGTGCAAATTTCCGCTACTCAAATGTTTCCTACAGTTTTACACTTAAAAAACATGGTGAAAACGCTTTCAGGTCCAAAAAAAACTGGTAAATAATTGAAGCAAACATTTGACACGTTCATAGAAAGTTATTAAATAGTTTGCTCTTGGTCCTTACAAAAATTGTGTTTAAGCGCTCAGTTACTGTTGTCAAAGTTCGAACTAAAACAAAAATTGCAAACAGTAAAACCTGATATCCGTTTAATTTGTCCATTAGTGTTACAAATAGAGTTAAAATTGAGATTGAAAAAATTGTTGCAGTGTTTCATTCATTTAATGGTCACAATGGGTGCGAAAAGTTCTCGCTTTTTACGTATCACATTGTTCGATGACCGAAAAAGATTCGCGACAAATTAGAGGGAAATTCCTTGACGTTTGTCTTGCTAAGAGGCGATGGTAGTGAAGACTCTAATATAGATCGTGATGATTTTTTGATTTTTTTAAATGAAAAGTCCTGAATTTGTTCACGGTTTGCTTTTACACTAACGAACTTTAGTGAGCGTTAGTGTAATAATGCTATTCTTTTTTTTACTAACCTAAGTGGCAAAGACTGGTGCCCGTTTTGGTAGAACTTTTACGCCTTTTTGATGGCATGTGCTTTGACTTTCGAATTGCAATAAGTTAACACAGTTGATGCATTTTTAATACATCAAATGAACGGAAAAAACTTTTTGTTTTAAACATATCAATTATAAAAATCGATTTCTTATATTCCACACTATTACTTGCAAAAATGTGTCTATTTGTATTTGTGTTACTTTTGCTGCATCGCGATGTCAATTTTTTGCGTATGTAGCAGCTTCATTTGTGACTAGTCTATGCCGATTTTTAAGCTTTCGTGGCCGAGAGGGCAGAGCGTCAGGCTCCAATTCTCGAGGTCGCTGGTTCGAAGAAAATACGTAGCAAAGTTTTATAATTTGAGGCTTGTTTCTATTTCTTCCTATTTCGCTTTATAAAGCAGCTTTTTTGTCGTATTCTTGCTAGTGTTTGCAAAGCGCAGCTTCGCCTCTGTGTAAAGATTGTTTTTTCGCGGTTTGAATTTTGATGTTTTTTCTAAGTTCATTTCCTTAGCTTACACTAGCGTCAGCTTATTGTATAATTATGAACCTTCTTTTTTCAAACCTAAGTTGCAATTATTGGCGCCACTTTTAGAGCACTTTACAGCTTTTTGATAGCTTTGACATTCGAATAGTAATAAGTTAATACAGTTGATGCATTTTAGTTCAGCAAATCAACCAAAAAAAGCTATTTGTTTCAAACAACTTAACAATCATAATAACTCGATTTCAGAAACTTTCTAAGTCAATATGTCTCGCAATTTTTTGAAATGCGTAATTTATACATAATGTGCTTTTATGCTTTCCGATTTGTTTCATGTAAAGTTAGTGGGTGCCTTCAGTTTATAATATTCCGAATTATCACTTGCCAAATTGTGTCTATTTGTATTTGGTGCCACTTTTGCAGCATTGCATTGGCAATTTTTTAGCATATGTAGCTGCTTTATTCGTGATTTGTTTTTTTTTCAGTGGTTAAGCGTGTGTGGCTGAGTGGCTACTGCGTGAGACTCAAAATCTCTAGATTACAGTAGGTCGCAGATCGTATCCTAGACCTAGCCGAATTTTTACTAATTCGAGGCTTATTTCTATTTTTCTTATGGTTTTTTCTAGAGATGCTTTTTTCGTGTTATCGCTAGTGTTTGCGAAGCAAAGCTTCACCTCTGTGTAAAAGGAAGGCAAATTCCTCTATCAAACAATAATAGGGTAAAGGCCGAGAGAAACTTGATAGACTTAAACTAGTTTTGAAATAAAAACTTTACCTATTGATCAGGTTTTCTCAAATTGATTAAGTTTTATCAAAGAAGTATCTATCAGAAATTGTTATTAAATGGCCAGATTGTTTGTTCATTACATTTTTCATCGTGCCGGGTTTAATAATAAGTTAAATCTGCCAGTTGTCAAAATTTTAACCCTGTTTGTGTAATGAAAACATGAAAAACTAGGAAGAAAATGTTTGTTCTTTTCATGTATTGAAAACTAAAAGTTGCAATTTCTTTGTCTCGACACTGCAGTTTGAGATTTCGAAGGATGCTGCAGTGATAAACAATGAACTGTTAAAGGATGGTTCGGTGGATCAACTCTCATCGGCTGATTTTCAAGCTAATCAAAATGGAGATCTCATAAACTTCGGACCCCAAGATCACCAGCAACAGCCTTACCCTCACTCTAATGGAGCCCCACCCAAGTCTGGACCCGGGTACCCTTCTAATCCACAGTTTCCGAATGCCCCTCAAATGAACCCTAACTACCCGTCATCTGCTGCATCCCAACAGCAGCCTCCAATGCCGAACCCATACAATAACCCGCCCAACCCCTACAATGCCCCTCCCTCGGATCCCAGTGCAAACGGAGTACCCCCGAATGGTAGTCAGAAACCGCCGAGTTTCGATCAGCAGCCACCATACAGAGTACGTTGTTCAGTAAACATCAATACTTTGCTTGTTGAAGTCAATCTATTCTTCATTCTTTTATAACTTTTGAAAAATGTTTTCATCTTTGTGTTTAGACGTATGGGTATATGCCCGATGAAAACAAAAACGGGTAAGATGTTCACATTGAGTGAGACAAAAATACCTCGGAGTTAATTAGGTTTTTTGTAAATTGTCTTGTTTTGTTTAGAATGCCACCGGCGTATACGGCTAACGCTCAAAACCAACGTTAGTTCCCTTCTTTTTTTTACCTAACATAGAATCCTCGAGCTTTATTGGACCCTTTCTTGAACTTTGACATGATATTGATTTTGTAAAACTTGAAAAATTTGTGCTTGAATTGATTGATTTTTGATGTAGTTTTTGTAAGTGTCAATTTGCGTAGGTCATGCTGCTTTTTTATTTAGTTTTTTAAGAAAAGATATTTTTCGAGGCTTGAATTTTAACTTTGTTCAAGTTTAATTCAAATTCTTCTTTTTTTCGAATAACGAAATGTTCAACAAAAAGTGATATGTTTCAATTTATTTGATACGTGAAAGTTTTGTCTTCTTGCGTTCATTGAGACTTTTCCAACTGTCTGTTGGCATTGTTTACAGCAAATGGTAGTGTTGGCAATCAACCTGCAGCTCCACCCCCTGCTACTACGAATGATGCAAGTACTGCAAACGGAAACCTACAACAGTGGTCCAATTTGGCCTTCGAGTTGCCACAAAGTGAGTACTTTCCAAATCTTCTTTTGCAACCATTTGATCATGACTGATTTCTCAGTCGCTTAGAGCTCAAATTTTCTCTGAGACGTTCAAAGAGTTCTGTTTTCAAAACATCAATACGTAACATGTTTCTGGCAAGCTTGTACGATATTAACTATTTTAAAAATGATAATTTGTATGATGATTTGTTTTTTTTTTCAAGTTACAGAGACGTCTCTTAGTGAGAAGTCTGGTGTCAGTTGCCCAATTGTTTGTCAACAGTACAGCGTCATATTACTTTCTTTCAGGCATTTAAAGAGCTGAAGTAAAAGTTAAACTAATGGCGAAAGTCTGAAAACAATTAAATGTTATCCTAGTTCCTACTGATCTGGGAGGCAACAGCAACAACTCTAACAACAACGATGACAACACAAGCAGCGGAGGGGGAGGAGGACAAGGGGAGGCAACAGGGACTGAGGCTCCCGCTGCGTCTCTCGACATGGACGACTTGGAAGCCAGGCTGAACAGACTGAAGGGACTGTGATCTATCTTAATCTGTTCATGCTGATTGACGTGAAATCTGATTCATTCATATCTTAACTAACGGGCAATTCGATATTTATTTGGGTTTTTGTCCAAAAATGGTTCCAATTTCAATCGAATTGTCCGATGGGCGATAACTGAAGTTTTCATCTTTTAAATTTCAGAAATGTACACTAAAAATTACTCGTAGTTTTAGAAACTTCCCCATGTAAAATTGAAATGGAATAATTTATTTTTATGCACATATTTTACGTACTTAAGGCAAGCTTAAGAATCGCAAGCACAATATTTTGCCTTTTAGTTATATCCTTAAGGCTGTAGCTCATGAAAATTAGGAAGGGTCACTGTGCAAATTTACCGTTCGTGAGTTTTCTAATGAAATTCATGAGACACTTGTTGTAAAGCTTGAATCTTATGAGCAACAAAAACGCGCATATTTTTCATGAAAATTTCAAAACGAGACTGCTGTTATTCAATTTACTACGAATTGTTCTGGAACACGGAAACCGAAGTTTTTGCCAATAAAACGTTCAAAATACTTGAATAGATGAGCAATCTCAGCTGACTGATAAAGAAGCTGTGAAAGTCCGTATACGTTTATTTCTGAAGCGTGATTTGTTCCGATCACGAAGTGGGAGGAGACTTTGTTTTGTGTTAAGGTTTTTGTAAGTTTTTCTTGTGCGGTTTCACTTTTACTTTTGGCAGTTTTATGTTTTTCCTCTCAAACTCTCACAACGCAAAAATTGTCAAAGGTGAGCGAGGGAAATATCACAGTTAAAGTTAATACATCAAAAATAAAAGTTATCTTTTTCTACCCTAGCGAAGCGAGTGTATTAGATCGAACCTTCGAACCTAAGTCGAAATATTGGTGCCACTTTTGAGGCACCTTTTCAACTTTTTCATAGCATTTGCTTTGAAATTCGAATAGTAATAAGTTAACACAGTTGATGCATTTTTAAATCATCAAATGAACCGAAAAAAGTGATTTGTTCCAAGCAACAACAACAATAAAAATTCGATTTCACAAATTTTCTAGCTCAATAAACTTCGCAATTTTTTTGAAATGCATAGTTTATACGTAATTTGGTTTTATACTTTGCGATTTTTTACATGTAACGTTAGTATGGATGCCTTCAGTTTGTTATATTCCTAATTTTTACATGCAAAATTGAGTTTTTGTATTTGGTGCCACTCTTGCTGATTGGCATTGGCAAGTTATTGGCATATGTGGCTGCTTTACTCGTGACTAGTGTTTATCGGTTGTTAAGCTTGCGTGGCTGAGTGGATAGTGCGGGAGACTATAATTTTTGATTGTTCTCGTAGCCGAGTTTTTGCTAATTCGCGGCTTATTTCTACTTTTTCTTATTTCACATGATAGAGCTGCTTTTTTTTGGTCGTGTTCTTGCAAGTGTTTGCGAAGCGTAGCTTTGCCTCTGTGTAAAACTACGCTTTTAGACAAGTACAGAACAATCAAAGCGACGGAGGAGTAATAAGTTGAATATATGCATTAAGAATTTCTTAGCTCTGAGTAATAGTTTTTTAGGATTCACTTAGCGCCTACCAGCACTAAGACTTCGAAATTCTTAAAATAAATCCGCAAAAAAACTAAGTTTTGAAAACAAATTTTTTTTTCATTTTTGCACAAAAAACTGGGCGACTCAAACATTAGCTGTTGTTGATCAGGTTGCTTTTGGTCGCTCTTACCACGCGTAAAACGACTAAAAATTGGTAAAAAAGTAAAATTGTTGTTTTTGTTATTTTTTTCAGAGTTTTCTTTGGTCTAAACTTTCTGTACAATTGCACATAAAATTGGTGTTTATTGGTGGTTATCGGTAAAAATATACTACGCTTACTGCGTCTGCTTCAGTTGCTTTATTTTTTAGGGTTCCTGCGGGTTGGAAATATTGTTCTGGTTTCTTTTTTCAAATTGCTTTCAAAATGGCTGCGAAGTTTAATCGAAGTCAATTTAATAGAGCTTAGACCAAAGAAGCAATCTAACTAGGACAAACCTGGTGCCATTTTTTTTCAAAACTAATTGTAAGTTTTATAGATTTAAAATACAAAAAATTTTCAAATTTTTGCACAAATGTTGCCTTTTGACCGAGTGATGTTATTTTTTGGTTATAAATTCAGAAAGTCAACCTCAATATTCGAGCATGGCAATTGAAAATTTGACAAGAAATTGATTACTCAGTAAAGGTGAAAATGTGAAATTTGAGATAATTTCCTTCTACAGAATGTTGACTGAAAATTTTTCGTTTCTGAGCAGAATCAGATAATCCAAATAATCATGGAAATGGTTTAAAAAATATATCATATTGAAGCCGTGAAAACCTGCTTTCATTTGTGTGTAAAACTTTATTTAACAATTTTTAAGCAAATGAAGCGAGTGCACATATTTATAGTATGATGATAAGGTTTTATTCAAGCCATATTTATAGTATGATGATAAGGTTTTATTCAAGCCGCAAGAATTTCCATTAACATTAGCTTTTGGCGCCTTCTTAGGATGAATTTCCTTAAACCAAAAAAATACACTCCTGAAACTTAAAAAAAATAGTTCTGGCGACTTCATGGGATAGCACTTTTTTTCAAAACTTTTCTGTGAAAAGCTGGAAGCAGTTCTTTTTTATTTGCTATTTTTTGTAATATTATAATTCTTCTTTGCATTTTTTGAGGAAACTTGTTGAATAGGCATAATTTTCAATGACTTACTGAAAATGCCTACGTTTCAGGCCTTCGTTTAGATTCTCAGATCACATCATGGATAAAAAATGACACAATTTCAAGATAAAAAACTGTTTTTCTCTGCTACTTGGACAGCATCCGGCTTTGATTATTATTTAGAATATACAGCAAAACTATATTACCATACAGCCGTGGCCGTTTGTAGCGTTATGGTAGCGTTAGTATATCTTCCAGTTCGTAGCGAAGACCTACATAATTGGGGATCAAGAAACATAATTGTTCCTTATTTTTTTTCAAAGTGTCTTCGATTGTTATTCTACAGTTACGAAAACATATAGGTTGCAATTATAGTTTTCACTCGATGGATTGCTTAAAAAGTACTCATATCTCTACCGTTCTCTCTACAATTAGTAGAGATTGACTGTTGAAATTTTGACTCATGATTATAGTTTTTTTTGAAAGCCTCATTTGTTAATTTGAGTAGTGGGCGTCAGAGAGGTGTTGTTCGTCCCCAAAATTACTAGTAGCAGCATCGAAAATTGTTTTCCTTTTTATCCATTTTGCAAAAACAACTGGTCGACTAAAACTTTAACTGTTGTTGCTCAGTTTGCTTTTGGTCGCTCTTACCACGCGTAAAATGACTGAAAATTGGTAACTAAGTAAAATTGTCTTTTTTGTTATTTTTTCAAAGCTTTCTCTGGTCTAAACTTTCTGTATAATTGCATATTAAAATGGTTTTTCTAGTTTGTTGTCGGTAAAAAAATACTACGCTAACTGCGTCTGCTTCAGTTGCTTTTTTTTCTAGAGTTCCTGCGGATGTTTTAATTTATTTTTTCAAATTGCTTTTAAAATGTCTGCGAAACTTAATTGAAATGTCTGCGAAAAGTTTAATCGAAGTTAATTCAATAGAGCTTAGATCAGAAAAGTAATCTAACTAGTACAAACCTGGTTCCATTTTTTCAAAACTAATTGTAAGTTTAATAGTTTTAAAATACAAAAAATTTTCAAATTTTTGCACAAATGTTGCCTTTTGACCGAGTGATGTTATTTTTTGGTTATAAATTCAGAAAGTCAACCTCAATATTCGAGCATGGCAATTGAAAATTTGACAAGAAATTGATTACTCAGTAAAGGTGAAATGTGAGATTTTTTCCTTCTACAGAATGTTGACTGAAAATTTTTCGTTTCTGAGCAGAATCAGATAATCCAAATAATCACAGAAATGGTTCAAAAAATATATCATATTGAAGTCGTGAAAACTTGTTTCTATTTGTGTGTAAAACTTATTTAACAAATTCTAAGCAAATGAACCGAGTGCATATTTTTATAGTATGAGGATAAGGTTTTACTCAAGCCGCAAGAATTTCCATTAACATTAGCTTTTGGCGCCTTCTTAGGATGAATTTCTTTTAACCAAAAAAAAACTCCTTCAACTAAAAAAAATAGTTTCGGCAACTTCATGGGATAGCACTTTTTTCGAAACCTTTTCTGTAAAAGGCTGGAAGCAGTTCTTTTTTTTGCTATTTTTTTGTATTATGATAATTTTTCTTTGTATTTTTGAGGAAACTGTTGTCGAATAGGCATAGTTTTCAATGACTTACTGAAAATGCCTACGTTTCAGGCCTTCGATTAGATTCTCAGATCACATCATGGATAAAAAATGACACAATTTCAAGATAAAAAACTGTTTTATTTTTTTTTTTGGTTTGTTCTTATGGTAGAGTTTCTCTGCTACTTGGACAGCACCCGGCTATTATTATTTTTTAGAGCATACAGCAGAACTAAATTACCATACAGCCGTGGCCGTTTGTAGCGTTATGGTAGCGTTAGTAGAACTTGCCGTTCGTAGCGAGGACCTACATAATTGGGGATCAAGAAACATAATTGTTCCTTATTTTTTTTAAGTGTCTTTGGTTGTTATTCTACAGTTACGAAAACATATAGGTTGCAATTTTAGTTTTCACTCGATGGATTGAACAAAAGGTATTCATATCTCTGCCGTTCTCTCTACAATTATTAGAGATTGAGTGTTGAAATTTTGACCTATGGTTATAGAAGCTGTCTATTTGAGTATTGCCGGATGAAAAAACTGCAATTTTTTTGAAAGCCTCATTTGTCATTTTGCATTGTGCGCGTCAGAGAGGTGTTGTTCATCCCCAAAATTACTAGTAGCAGCATCGAAAATTGTTTTCTTTTTTATCCATTTTGCAAAAACAACTGGTCGACTAAAACTTTAACTGTTGTTGCTCAGTTTGCTTTTGGTCGCTCTTACCATGTGTAAAATGACTGAAAATTGGTAACTAAGTAAAATTGTCTTTTTTGTTATTTTTTCAAAGCTTTCTCTGGTCTAAACTTTCTGTATAATTGCATATTAAAATGGTTTTTCTAGTTTGTTGTCGGTAAAAAAATACTACGCTAACTGCGTCTGCTTCAGTTGCTTTTTTTTCTAGAGTTCCTGCGGATGTTTTAATTTATTTTTTCAAATTGCTTTTAAAATGTCTGCGAAACTTAATTGAAATGTCTGCGAAAAGTTTAATCGAAGTTAATTCAATAGAGCTTAGATCAGAAAAGTAATCTAACTAGTACAAACCTGGTTCCATTTTTTCAAAACTAATTGTAAGTTTAATAGTTTTGAAATACAAAAAAATTTCAAATTTTTGCACAAATGTTGTCTTTTGACCGAGTGATGTTATTTTTTGGTTATAAATTCAGAAAGTCAACCTCATTATTCGAGCGTGGCAATTGAAAATTTGACAAGAAATTGATTATTCAGTAAAGGTGAAAATGTGAAATGTGAGATAATTTCCTTCTACAGAATGTTGACTGAAAATTTTTCGTTTCTGAGCAGAATCAGATAATCCAAATAATCACAGAAATGGTTCAAAAAATATATCATATTGAAGTCGTGAAAACCTGTTTCTATTTGTGTGTAAAACTTATTTAACAAATTCTAAGCAAATGAACCGAGTGCATATTTTTATAGTATGAGGATAAGGTTTTACTCAAGCCGCAAGAATTTCCATTAACATTAGCTTTTGGCGCCTTCTTAGGATGAATTTCTTTTAACCAAAAAAAACTCCTTCAACTAAAAAAAATAGTTTCGGCAACTTCATGGGATAGCACTTTTTTCGAAACCTTTTCTGTAAAAGGCTGGAAGCAGTTCTTTTTTTTGCTATTTTTTTGTATTATGATAATTTTTCTTTGTATTTTTTGAGGAAACTGTTGTCGAATAGGCATAGTTTTCAATGACTTACTGAAAATGCCTACGTTTCAGGCCTTCGATTAGATTCTCAGATCACATCATGGATAAAAAATGACACAATTTCAAGATAAAAAACTGTTTTATTTTTTTTTTTGGTTTGTTCTTATGGTAGAGTTTCTCTGCTACTTGGACAGCACCCGGCTATTATTATTTTTTAGAGCATACAGCAGAACTAAATTACCATACAGCCGTGGCCGTTTGTAGCGTTATGGTAGCGTTAGTAGAACTTGCCGTTCGTAGCGAGGACCTACATAATTGGGGATCAAGAAACATAATTGTTCCTTATTTTTTTTAAGTGTCTTTGGTTGTTATTCTACAGTTACGAAAACATATAGGTTGCAATTTTAGTTTTCACTCGATGGATTGAACAAAAGGTATTCATATCTCTGCCGTTCTCTCTACAATTATTAGAGATTGAGTGTTGAAATTTTGACCTATGGTTATAGAAGCTGTCTATTTGAGTATTGCCGGATGAAAAAACTGCAATTTTTTTGAAAGCCTCATTTGTCATTTTGCATTGTGCGCGTCAGAGAGGTGTTGTTCATCCCCAAAATTACTCCTAGCAGCATCGAAAATTGTTTTCTTTTTTATCCATTTTGCAAAAAAAACTGGTCGACTAAAACTTTAATTGTTGTTGCTTAGTTTGCTTTTGGTCGCTCTTATCACGCGTAAGACGACTGAAAATTAGTAAATAAGTAAAATTGTCTTTTTTGTTATTTTTTCAAAGCTTTCTCTGGTCTAAAATTTTTGTACAATTGCATATAAAAAGTAGTTTTTCTTTTTTGTCAGTAAAAATATACTACGCTAACTGCGTCTGCTTCAGTTGCCTTATTTTCTAGAGTTCCTGCGGATTGGAAAGTAGGTTTTGGTTTCTTCTTTCAAATTGCTTTTAAAATGGCTGCGAAGTTTAATCGAAGTTAATTCAATAGAGCTTAGACCAAAGAAGCAATCCAACTAGGACAAACCTGGTGCCATTTTTTTCAAAACTAATTGTAACTAAATGTTGCCTTTTGACCGAGTGATGTTATTTTTTGGTTATAAATACAGAAAGTCAACCTCAATATTCGAGCATGGCAATTGAAAATTTGACAAGAAAAAATAACTAGTCAGATTTAGGTAATTTGATAAATAAGCTGCTGCTTTTCAGTTAATTTTGTCAAAAAATTTACAAAATTCTTAGTTCCTTTTTATGTTAAAGGAAACCTATATGAAGGCCTATTTTAGATCTTTAACTTCCAACGAATACTTTTGAGTTGAAAGTTGCGAACTGCTACTGCCATTTACGGGTGTTTGGCACTACGGATACCTCTTTGACGCATTCTACTTAATTGGTTATATGAGGGCTTGAAAACGAACTATATTATTTAAGGCATCATTTCGAGGGATGTAACTTTTTTTTGCTTAAGCAGCAATCGAATTTTCTTGTTTTCTCCATGGAAATAGAATTTTGACTTGAAATGGAAAACTTCGTGCCAAATTGGTGGGTGTGGTGTTGAAATGTTTAGATCTCCGTATCAAAATCGAAAGCTCCGTGGCTCGAGGCTCATCATGATAAGTACTCGTTGCTTATGTTCTCAGCCCAGGACAGTGGCCAAAATTGGCATGTTATCCTTAACTAGTGGCACAACAGCGGAACTGCTCAAAGAGCTGAATAGCTCGAATCTGGATCCGTTTTCTCTTCTTGTGACTAATTTGTCTTAACTTATGTCAGTGTGTGGTTGAAAACATAGACTAGACTACATTTATAATTTATAATGAATAATTCAACTATCGACGATTAATTATTGCAATTAATTTTGAATAGTTTGTGACCTGCACAATGTATATTTTGTAGCTTCTATTTTGATATATTTGGATGGTTTGAATATATTACGATATCACTTTAAAAGCTTGCCGCAATTAGAAAAGTTTTGTTTTTCTAAAACCAAAAGTAAAAATTAGTCGTCTTTGGTAACAGCTATGCAACCTGGACATCCAATTCCATAATATCAAAATAGAAATGTTTAGACAATAACATCAGCTAAAACTACTATTGTGGTTAAATATCGACGTGTACTGCAATGTTGTCAATATAAATTCATGCTTAGTTATTGAAATAAAAAAATATTATACTCGAGACTAGCTTCGTTGATACAAATACAGTTGATGACATGTTTGCTTCTTGAAACTGAGTATATAAAATTGCACGAAAATTGCAGAATATTAAACAGGAAGCTACAGTTCAGTTGCGTGCAAATAGGAAAATAAATACAACAAAAAAATTAATTTTGCTAATTAATTATAACTGCGCCCTAGGAATAAGATAAATTTGATATACTTTGCTTTCGATTTTTTTGTCAATCAAAATATGCACATACTTGGCGTGCGATAGATAATGGTATTTTAATAGTGTCTCAATTCTAAAATTTCTGTTTTTTTTGTCTTATATCTCAAAAAGAAGGCTTCCAGGAAAGGGAGAAAGATGACCTGATCAAATGTATTAAGAACCCGTGAGTTGCGGTAGTAAATTGATTACTAACTTCAACTTAGAAAATTTCTATGACAAAATACATGAAAGGCGAAGATGTTCCCTTGTTATGAAGTAGACTTTAAAATTCCATAAGTTCGTATGTACTTTTTTGTGCAAGTGTCAGGGGAATGTTTTTGGTTTTTTAATCTTAATTTTATTAAGAGAAACTATAGGTTTTTGTTATTATACGAACCAAAATGATTTTTGTTGTTATTTTAAAAACTGTTCTATATTATTTACTAGATACAATATCTGAACCTTAATTTGAAACCAAATCTCGCATGAAACATTCTGTAATGTTTGAGCCGTGTAACATAAAAGGGGTCTTTTGGACTAAACTACTAAACGGCCCGCAAAACAATGTTTAAAATCTTTACCTTCAAAACTTTGAACCAATCTTGAACTGAGAAACCCTGCGCCTTTCTTGAAACGACAAAAAATTAGCCTATCAAATTCAAGAAGAAGTTATGTTGAATTTTCGCAAATCGAAATAGTTCGATTGTTCTTCTTTTTTGGGCCGCCGTTTAGTGCTAAAGAGCCCAGAAACTAAGTACAGATGATGCATTAAGTATCTAGATGATGGATTAGAGTTCAATGTCGTGTCCCAGTCTGTCGATCTCCTCCACCACGTAGAGAATGTCCTCCCTTCGACTGGCCTGGTTGGAGATGACCATTCGGAAGAAGTTAGGGATGGAGAAGAGGGGCTGGTAGCCCACCATCAGATCACCCTTGTTCATCATCCTGCCCTTGATTATGGGTGCCACCTTTATTTGAGTGAGAAACAAAAAACATAATTAAAAACCTAAATGCTTTGTAATTTATTCCAACAAATTTATCGACGTAATTTATCCACATAAACCAACTGAAAGGTAAATACTACAGTTCACCTAGAAAACTGAACCCCTCTGTTATTGTAACTTGATATAAATAACTTTTTAACTATCGTGTGAAAACAATTTTTTATTGTTATTATTACCCTTGCGATAAGCAAGGGTATTGCTACCGGGTACTAGACGTTTTCCCCGTAATTAACTTTGTTCACAGAATGGTCAAAATGGTAAAGCTTAATGCATGCTCAATTTTTTGAAAATTCAATTAAAACTACTTTCGTTGAGGTAAAAAAATAGTTGTTATCCGCTTCCAGTAATTATTTTTTTAAATAAATTTCTTGAACAAATGATGATTTTTTTTAAAAGGAAATTTATTTAATCTGGTACGGTTCGATTCGGCTTACTTTGTAAAGCACGGATTTGTTTTAATTTTGAAATGATTGCTTTTGAAATAACTTACCAGATCTGATTTTGAGTAATTTGTTTTTAATGTTTTTTTTTTACAATTAAGCGGTTTCGGCTTTTGTTTTATCGGCATAGTCAACGTATATTGCGTCGTTTCGAGGACAAAAATATCTTGTTTGACGAAATTACAGATTGTGAAAAAGTATAAGATTTCGCTTTCTGCTAAGATTTTAATTTTTTGAGACTGTTTTTTGGAAACTTTGAGCAGATCTGGTTCAGTCGAAAGAGCAAGTTGCAAAAACTTTCGTGCAAAAGCTGAGACTCCTTTTTTTGTATGAAAATTGTTGTGTCCCTCAGAAAAATCAGTTTAATGAAATTTACACTGTTTTTGCAGTTTTTGCTGATTTTATCCTAGATGGAGGTTATTCGAAAAAAAACTGGTTATAGAAATTTTCCTTGTACAAATGGCTCCGCAATTATAGTTTCAATCGAAACAACATTCTTTGAGAAACTCACTTGTAGATGCAGCTACGCCAGGTTTTTCGCAGAAAACTAATGATTTAAGAAAAGTCGAATTTTTGAGATTTTGATCGTTTTTTGGAAACTTATTTTCTTTTTTCTTACACTCACACCACCAATTCTGAGTTTAATGATTCAATTGAAAGAGAACTTTATATCTTATAGATCATCACTGCATAAACGGTTATACCTTATTTTAAAAGTAACGGTTAAAATTAAGTATGGTTTATAGTTCATTTTGAGAAATTTTTATTTTCTTTTGAAAATTTTTCACTTTTAACATCTTTTTACCTCCTTATTTCAGTATAAACCACTAAAGGTAAGGGTTGAGATCAATCCCTAAAAATTTTAGCACAAAAGTTTTTTGTGACAGCAGTTTGTTTTTCGCTCAACAGGTGGTCAAACGGAAATGTTTGTTTAAGTTGTCGCCCGATTATCAAAGTTTTCAATTTATCTTTGCAAGCTATTTTTTCAACTTAATTTTCAAAAATCCTACTTTTGTCTCTTTTTTAACTCTGTGTAAAGCCTCTGTGTAAAGTCTTAGGTTTCAGTATTTGAATTTTTTTTCTAGCCGATTGCAAACTATAGTTTTGATACACCCAGTGGTTCATTCAGCAAGTCAGGAAGAAAGAACCGTACATATGGTGCATGTTAAAATATAGTGTCCACGAATTGATTCCACACGGTAGTAAAAAAAACTAACGCTCTAAGTGATTCTGATCATCATTTTTCAGTTTCTTCATTGCACCTTGATTCGGTTTCAGTTTTTCTCGATCACATAACACGGATGTGGGGAGAGAATATTGACCTGGATCTAGGATGTTAACTTGATCCGTGAAGTCTAAGGATTTTGAAGTGAGATCACTGACCTTGTGCAGCTTCTTGGTTCTGGCCTGGCCCTCGGGCATTCCCCGAATGCACTCAGGAATATACCAGAAACACACATTCAGGAACTGCGGCTGAAACAGGAAAAAAAACTCAAAAAATTATTCTCCCGTATCTATATCTCTCATAACTAGTTGAGAAGATGTACATTAAAAGCGCATAGATGCAATTTGTACAGCAAGAATTAAGATTTTGGCGTGGTATCCTGCTTTTTAATGTATATGCTGAGCTCTAAAAACACACGATAACACGACAAAGTGGTAATTCTTCTTGTACTAATTGCATCTTTGTGCTTTTTAACCCCATGAAATTGGCGCGTTTTCCACTTAATTTTTGTGAAAGTGTCTCTCTCACCTCTTCGAACACCATCTGAAAGCCCTGCTTTTCGTGGATCAGCTGGACCAGGTAGTCTCTGAGGTCGAACATGAGGTTCACGTGTGCCTCCATGCCCACCCTGCCCTTGGCACGCCACATGAGCCAGAATTTGAAAATGTCCACATGACGACCGCACTGGATGGCCTAATATTTTGTGTCTTGTAATTGGGAACTAGACTTTTTTCCCATAAACAATTTTTCTTACAATTTATAATTGAAATTGATATTGCTTTGTTATCGATTCTTAGTAGTTTTAAAAACACTTCACACGTGGCTTGGAAATAATGTTTGCCTTAGCACATTATGCTCTGGGTTTCGAGTCCCGACTGGACCTTGTTTTTTTTTCAATATCTGAAATTGATTTTTTTTCGAGAAAAACTGATTACTCTGACCATAGTTTGTCGGCTTATGTTTTGTCGGCTTAGTTGGCACGTCACAATTTTTTACGCGGCAAGCAGTTGTAGTCTCAAGTGTATTTTACTAACTCGTGTAATTTTTACAAATACTATCCCTGACTGGTATACTTTCCTTTTTTTCGCTCAAAAGTTTTATTCGGCCTGTATAATTTCTGCTCATCTTTTGTGAACAAAATTCGGTTTTATGAACTTATTTTGCATCGGTTTAAGGATGAAAATGATTATTTTTGTTTTGAGCTAGTCAAATTTTTAAATCGCTGTCCCGCATTTGTACTCTTTTGTGATTTCCATTTTTGGCTGACGGACTCTAAAATTTTTCTAAAGGCTCTCCGTAAATATTCAATAACTTTGAGGAAGCGTAACAAGTACTAAAAAACGCCTTTTTTGATTTTTCCCTGCGGCCCAGAAAAATTGGCCAAAACAAGGTCTTTGTAGTGCTTTCGGTGAGCTCGGAAATGAATTTGGTTGACCTTAAAAAAAGTCGACTAAATTTCCTATTTTTTTGAAATCCCCCCCCCCCCCAAGAAAATCCTAGATCCGCTCCTCTGTTTTTAATATTAGAAAAATGGGTTTGAAATATTTTACAGACAAAAACGTCTAAATTGATTCTTTTTTGTCTTCCAGGTGCTTCTTCAATAGTAGATTCAGTTAGCCAGCATGCAAGGTAATTAATAATTGAGACAAATATTAGTAACCAAAAGGGCTGATATCTTCTCTAGGTTCTCTAGAGACAAGAAATGGGAAGATTGTTCTCATCAGTTTGGTACCAATCAAATCTAATAAGTTTTTTAAATTGCCGGTTATAAAAAGTTTCTGATATTATTTATCATGGACGGAAAGATTTTCAATCAACGATGCCGGTGTATGTGCGTACCTTGTCGCCTGTGTCATAGGAGACGTCGTAGTGCTTGTCCTGTTGGAACAAGTAGTCGGCGTGCAGAGCATTGCAGCTCTCCAGAATACCCTGAAAGTAACCGGATAGTCAATTGTGTAAATGAAAAAGGAGACATTGTTTTCTTCAGTCTTATCGTATACGAGCTTGTGCTCAAGAACTTCATGATTTGTGAGCCAAACGTTTTTTTGCTATCCTGAAGGGATCCTCACAAAACCCTTAATTTCAAAATTGAAAGCCATAATGACTGATTTCGTATATTCTGATTTAAAAATCAAAAGGCTAACGTCTTCTTTGACTAGTAGAGCCGAGCATTGCAGTGTCACACCGAGGAGTTTGTGAGGGTTCCACGTCACAGAGTCGGCCCTAGAGGCAAATATTACAAACAGTTGTTCAGTTATGTTTAAGGATTACCCTCATTTGCCAGTTTTTGAATCTGAGCTCATGACTGCTAGCGTCCATAACCATCATTTTTTTAAACGTTTGTTTTTTCTAGAGTTAAATGACTGATTTTTGCTTTCGATCAACGATAAATTTTTTTAAAAATAATTATATCTAGATGTGGTACAGCTGAAACTATGCAAGTTAACCTAGTGAGTCAACAAATGTTTCAGAAATTGTTGTCAACCTTTCCTTTTTTTAGGCGCATCCTAAGCTCTCGCGGGCGGAATTTTGAAAATTATTGCCCTTTTTTAGGTCAATCAAATTTCAAATTGTTGGATTTTTTGAATATACGTACGATGAAGACTGTATTTAGAACTATTTTTTTCATGTATGGCAGATTAGGTTTTTCGAAAGGTAACCTTCAAAGTAAGTATTTTAGGCGCCTTAGAAACATTAAGAGTCGGTCAGGTTAAAATAAAAGTCGTACAATAGCACCAAAGGGGTACCCTTTCGGTGTTCAAAGGGTGGAGTCTGTGAATGGAAACAAGCCTCTCTCCCACTGAATCAGCTTCTGAGGATAGTACTAAGGGTATACTAACAGGTGTATTCCATCCAGGATGTGCTTCCACTTATTCGACATCAGAACTCCTCCACCCCACGCGGCCTAAAAATCACCCAATTAAAGCCAGGATTCATCCATGAGGCACTGGATCAACATACAAACAGTGCCACTGGCTTAAGATTTCATGCGGATAGACATTTTGCTCCAAATTGATGCTAGCGGCTTTTTTTTCTCCAAATTTATGCTAGTGTTTTTAACGCGCTCACATCCACATGTATCCATAGGTCGTGCTTGTTGGCGATTGGTGCCAGCTGTCTGATCTGGTCCACTGCCCCCACCACAGTTGTGCCCATAGTTAGACCCAGGAACAGGGGGTGCTTGCCCTAGCAAACAAAAACAACAAACGTCATCTGCAGACAAACATCGAAATATTTTTTGTGGGATCAACCATTCAATACACAGATAGTTTGACCAAGGTAAGTTTTAAATTATTTTTAGTTCTTGACAATGAATCAGTGGTATGGTATAATTTCACGAGGGGGTTACAAGATTTACAGTTGATGCCAAATAATTTTGCGGGGTTAAATTTGTTGCCAAGTCCTTTTCCGCTGTGGCAGATTTTTGAGAAAAAATTACTTGAAAAGCTTTAATCAAAATATCGTGTATTTTTTGGCGCGCTCTTCTCCCGAATTACGACGCTAAGCTCGGTTTTATAACTAAGCACATATTTGTGCTTTCACGCGTCTGAATTCCACTGACACATCTTTTGCGTGTTTTAAAGAGTTTCGTCTGTGATTTCCACAATCAAATAATCCCTATACACACAATGCCGACAAGTTATTTTTGTCAGTAGCTTCCCGAGACAAACTTGTTTTGGCCGTTGAAGTGGATTGTCAGTGGGTTTCGCGGTCAATTTTTTTTGTCGCTGGATTCCATAAGCACTTTTTTAAACTGTTTGAACATGTATCGGACCCATTTTTTATCATCTCATTTATAGATCCTATAATAATAGTTACCATGCTCCTCCCACATACCACCCCCTGTCATGAAAAATGAATATATTTAGTAAATTTTCTATGAAGGGAATCAATGAATATAATTTTGGATATTTTAATACAAATACACCGAAAGGAGATGATGAAAGTTAGAAAAATCAAACCAAAATGAAAAAGGGAAATCGAAATGCATTTTTTTTTGCTGTGTATTGGCATAGCTCAACCTCCTGAGGAAAATTTAAAGTAAAAACATCTCATCATAATAAAATTTCAATACAATCAAGAACTCTTTGTAAGGTCCTTAGCAAGGCTTCATTCTATCACAAGAAACGTTGACTGTTTAGTCAGACATGTTTTGAAAAAAAAATCACCTCGACATAAATAGGACGAAAAACAAGGAAAAAACAAATAATTATGTTTTTTGATTTCAGCGCTTGGTGCCATATTTTTTGTTCATCAAGTCAAAACTGAACAAATAATGAACAAAAAGAGACCACGGTTTTCTAGTAATGAGAGAGAAATGGAGTGATAATTCACGAAGTATAAGCAGCAAATCTTCACATGATATACCTACAAATAGTCTAAGTGTACCATATGTGATTCGGTCTTGTTATTTTATTCCCCTATTCTGGTCTAATTAGGGAGAACAAGTGATTTGTGCGGAGTGTGTGCTTGTCACTAATCAATAAACTTCCCCGGGAGAAGTCTTCTGCTCGTGTCATTAGAAGACACTTCGTGTATATACCATAGCGGGCAAAATTGGACCAACTGCCGTGAACAAAAGAACCCACTCGTCCACTCAGAACAATCAAGCCTACTCATTCAGAATAGATCTCAGAGCATAAAAGTTATAACCCCAGTTACCTCATGAAGGGAAATTTTTCACCAACCCAAAATGAACTATTGCTGTGGATAAAACACCTCAACTCATCAACCTAATGGAGATAAAACAGAATTGGTTAAAAGTTTTCGATAAAAAAGGGTCCTTGGGTGCAACAAGGGGAAAAACGAACCAGTTTTAGAAAACGGAGTTATTTAAATAATTTTACATTTCAACAACTTTTCAAGCAGTTTAATGAGATGATTTAATGAATGTTAATTTCAAAAAAGAAATGCAATGATATTTCTGCTAACTTAGCGGTAGTTCAAGTAGACCCATCTTGTTTTTGGTAACGATGGTTATTTATTTAATGAAGCTTCCTGGTTAAATCAACAATCTAATGGCACGATTTCTATAGGCTGCAATTGATTGCCTCAAGCACTAATTTGGAGCATATTTTGAAGTTGTCTCCATTTTCAATCCACTTGACCATTGAGGGTATGTTTTGTGAAAAAATAACAGTTTTTTTGGCTCTGAGCCAAAATGATTAAAAAGGCCTTTCCCGACTTCTGAAGCATTTTCACCAAATAAAAAAAAACACAAAATTTACTAAACTCTTTTTATTCATTTTCGAGTAGTTTTAAGCCTATTAAATAACCATTTGATTATTCATCTCTACCTCTTACAAAAGATAGCTGACATATTACAAACATCACCATTAAGCATATGCACAGTCTGTGGCTGTCATCGTAACAAACCCAAAATGAACTATTGCGATGGATAAAACACCCCGCTTTCATCAACCTAATGTAGATAAAACAGAATTGGTTAAAAGTCAGTGATAAATTGGAATCTTCAAGCTTAATGAATTAATAGGAAACATAAACTAAGCAAATGGCCAAACAGAATGGAATACGGAATTCGGCCCAGTTTTTAAAGCAATTTATATGCTCATTTTTTGTTCACAATCAATTTTCAAAGAAAGCTAGTTGACCTGAAAATTTAAAATTTCATCTTTCTGAAACAACTAGCTGATTAAGAAGTGACAAACAGACAAAATGTAATTGGATAGCTACATCAAATCAATTTTTCAAAAAAAATCAGCTGACTACCTTTGAAGTAATACATATGTTTGGCTGCATCTATTGCTGCAACTGCTATTTAATCGAAAAAAAATAGAGCTTGCATGAAACTTCCAAATTTTGTTTTAGCAGTTTTAATTTTGAGAGCGTAGTATTGTAGTCTTGTTTCAAAGATGGAGGTTTTGAGCGTCAAGAAATTTTTACATACAGCTATAAAGATGTAATTGTTCCGACTTTTGATACGAAAGTAACGGAATATTTGTGCTCGGGGTGGGTTTTTTTTTCTTCAGACAAATTTCGACTTTTTAACTAGCCATTTTTGACGAAATTTTTTTATATCATTCGAAAGGTATTGTTGTCTTGAGCTCAAATTTGAAAAGATATTTCACCTGTGATCATTTTTCATAAAGTTATGGGGGTTTAAAGATTGCCATTTTAGCCAATTTGGGACAATTAACGCGCGATATATTTCGCGCTATTAACGCGTAAGCGGAGAGTTAATCCGTCTTAGAAATCTTTCCAAATTGGTTGAAAGAAGCTTATTTGCCATAATTGGTTTGTTACAAGGAGCGAAATCTATATTTTTGTACTTTATATGGCGTGTGGGGGGATGATTTTCATAAAAAATTTCAAATTTTAGAAAAAAAAATTTCATTTTGTTTTGTTACATTTAATTTTTTAATGTTATTACTGCTCCATAAAACCTTAAAAAAAGTCGGAACATTCAGGGTTTCGCCCTGATACGAGCAGTCTTGTATTGTTTTGGTTCTTAATTTTTTTTCTATAATTAAAAAAATTTTCTCAGGTTTTAAAAATGATTTTTTTTTATTTCTGGTTTTGGATTACTTTCATTTTGTTTATTCTTAGTTTATTCTATGCTTAGTTGGGTTTAACATAGTATGCTTTCTTTTTGACAATTTCTATTGAAACTATAACCCAATCTTATTTATCTTATCTTCTTGATCTATCTTTTTTCCGTTACCTGTGACTTTTTACCCGTAAATTTTTGTCTAACAACGCCATATTATTTTGAAAAATACAGGACAAAACCAGGCTATCGAAAATATATTTAATCTCATTATAATTCTTCTACAAAAATGCTTAGCATGGGTGGAGGTGTAAAAAAAGGACCAAAAGCAGTGAAAAATTTACTTTATAATCTATTTTCTTTTTAATTTGAAAATTTAGGCGTATCAATTTTATGTTAGTCTGCCTCAGAAAAAAATATAAAATGAAAAAGGCAGCTATAGTAAAAAATTTAATGAGCGCTGAAAAGTTGTGAGTGTTATGTTTTTCCACACCACACTTACTGCGACAAATCTTCGAGAGGAGAGAGATAGAGATAGATAGAGATAGAGAGAGATAACGAGAGAGAGAGAGGATAGAAAAGAGAGAGAGAGAGAGAGAGAGAGAGAGAGAGAGAGAGAGATGAAGAGATAGAGAAAACTTGCGTAGTTTCCGAGAAAATTAACCAATTTAATTGCATTTTTTTGTGGACTTTTTTCAGATATTTCATTAACTTTTCCGGAGATCAAAAGCCAGTGAAACCAAAGATATCCAGCCAATTATAGCCGATAAAATTGTTTCAAGAAGAGCTGCGGTTGCAGGAAGGTATTATTAGTTGCTAAGTGTGTAACTTTTTGTTTGACGTTGGTGAAATGGGTTATTTGAAAACAATTTTTTAAAGATATTTGCTTCGAAGTTTTTGCTTACAACAAAGATTTTGTTGTTTTTTAATCTTTGATGCATTATGAGGCCATGTTGTTAAAATCAGGAAAACTGCGGAATCGGCTGATAAAAAAAATTCCAAAAAGTCATATTACGAGGTATTCGCCATTGAATTTCGCAACCTTTTAGCCAAAGGATCTTATGGTTTTGATTTTATTTTCTTAAAGTTTTGTCTCCTGCTTCCAGTAAAGTTCACAAATAGTTTTGTGATTCTAAAAAATACATAGTTTTGCGGGCCTTGTTATGTCGGCATTTGAAAATTTTCGGTCTAAACTAGTAGCTTTTTCCCAGTGACTCCATGAACGCATCAAAAATAGAGTAATCTGAGCCGGTTTAATTGAAAAAATAACTAACCTCCTTTTTAACTTTTTGAATTTTGGCCTCCAAATCTTTTGGGTCCATGTTGCACCTGAAAAAAAAATAACTTGAGTCATGATTCAATTATACGTTTCAAAGTTTTTTTTTAGTAATTCTTGCCTTGCGTCGGTTTCAATTGGGATGCAATTGTTGATTCCGATACCAGTGATCATTGCTGCATTCTTGTACGAGTAATGCGACTGCAAGCACACAATTCGATTACATTCAATAAAACTAGCTCATAATATTTTCAGTAAAAAGACTCAGTAAACAACAGTAAAGTGTTCTATTGTTCTGCAAAAAGGTTTTGGAACTCATTAGGGTTTTGGTTTTTATAGTTTCATCAAGTTTTGTTATGTTTTCATTTTTTTCCAAAAAAGTTTCGTTTTTTTCCAAATTTTCATGTTGCTTTTTTTTAGCAAAAAGAAGAAACTGAATTTGATTAAATAACTGCAAGGAAAAGAGGTAAAGTTTGGTTTAACTTATAAGCTTTGGCTTAACCTATACAATATGTGAACCTTCTGAACTGCCAAGTGTACCCCAAAAACCTTTTTAACCGCCGATCTTACTTTTAGCTGCCAAGGATTATAACTACCTCTTTGGACACAAACATGCACAGCTGTTTTTCTGGCTTCAGTCCAGTGTGTTTCAGCTGTGGGAAGTACTTGTGTCTGGCCAACATCAGGGCGTACAAGTTAGAAATAGTCCCGCCTGGAAATCAAAACTTCATAATCTTTTTCGCTCATGCATTTGAAGATATTTCTCGTTCATTTCTTTTTTAATTTACTTTTCTACTAACTTTTTCGTCAATGAAAATAACCACTGGGGTTAGACCTTTTCTCAACGAACAAACATCGAGTTTTTGGTTTATCTTTTCAACTTCTGGCTATTCGAACACTTTGCGGCTTACCTGGTGCACAGATTCCGTCCCCGGCTCCATCCGCCCAGCCGACAAGTTCTCTAAGCCTCTTCAACACCATCCGCTCCATAATCACAAATACGGGAGACACTTCGTAAGTGAACCTAAAATTTGAATGAAATTGTTTTCAAATTAAAGCCGATATTCAAAAGTCGATAAATACGTGAGCTAAATTCAACTTTAAATGCCAAAAATTAAACTTAAAAATGAAATATTTTGTTAAAATTGAGGAAAAATATTTTTAATCTTGTGAAATGAGTCTAAATGGAGAAGTTTTTTGAAGGAAGAAAATGAAGCCTGACATGTTGGTGTTGATAGTTGCTGTGAGCCACTCTCCCGCAATGGAAGTGACGTCCATTCCACATGACAGCTGATTGAAGAAACGGGGATGACCTAAGAGTTAGAAGTCACAAAAAATGCGATGTTGTATCGCTAGTTGCATTATTAGAAAAAACAAGCATTTTTGAATGGTCGTTATTGTGGTATGTTTTTTCAAAAGTTTCTACCGAGCTTTCAAATAAGTGATCACGAATCATAACGGTTTTTCAATGAAATATGTCTCTAAATGTAATTTTAAACTGTCGACGTGTACTGAGTTTGTTAGTACAAATATTGAACCAATTCAGAGCTGACCTGACTTGACCGCATATCGACAGGTATCTTTGATGTCACTCAGCAACTGGGCCAGGTGTTCTGGAGTTTCCGGCACGTCCAGGTCCAGATTGCCCCTCAGCTGTGCCGGGTGGTGGAACTCGAGCACCGGCTGGGCTCTGTCGTGCGTCTGACCCATGAAGTCGATCAGTTCGTCCACCACACAGCGCAAAAACTCACCCGTGTTTGAGTGGGGGAAGGACTCATGCGGCAGAATGTCTAAAGATAATAATAATAATAATAATAATAATAATAATAATAATAATAATAATAATAATAATAATAATCATAATAATAATAATAATTACTATTATTATTATTATAATAATAATAATATGATTAATAATAATAATAATAATAACAACAACAACAACTTTTTTTTTTCAAATCGCTATATTACAATCAAAGATCGATTTATTTATAATTTGAGAGCACCAATTTGGGAGATCATCCGGGAGATCTTTCGATCAGTCGCGTTACGTCTCCTAAGATGTCGAGATGATGGTGAAAGTGTCAACATAGTTATGGTTTCAACAAAGATGATTGTGGTTTGAATCCCGTTATCATCTGAAGTAAGAAAAAGTCAATTGGTTGAGGCAAATTTGTTATATTGCAGCCTTTCAACAATTTTTCCCGCTTGGTTTGATCAGCAGTTGATCTTTTTTGCTGTTCTGTTCGATCCCAATTTTCTTGCACAGTTAGTTAACTTTAGCTCAAAAGTCTGATTTTAAGGCTTGGTTTGACGGCAACAATAGGCTTATTACTAATTATTTCAATTGCAATGAAATTGCAAATTGTTTCGATTGCGATAACTAAACTAATCATTCATGAACATTGAGTTTGACGGGTCCATTTTTTAATGAAAAATGTAAAGTTCATTTTTGTCCTAATTTGACATTCAAGTTAGCTGCCTATATCTTGGCCACTTCAGACCGTTACAAACAGCAAAACCAAATTGATGCTTCAAGTTATAAAAAAAAGTGAGTTGATACAAAGTGACATTTGGCGGAAGAACGCAAATTGGGTTTAGCTAAAAATCCGCGGGGTGCCGGAAACACCACTTTGTCAAATTTCCCCACTCTCTCCTAACGTAGGTAGAGCGTGAACAAATTGATTATCACGTCATCTAGTTATAAAAAAAAATCGACGCTGAATTATGGCATTCATTTAAGTGATAAGTGACGTACACGCCGTATAGTTTTTTAAAATTCTTTCATTATCAAGTTTCATCATTTTTCCAATTTTTTCGTCCAGTTTTTCCTGAAGATTTCACACCTTTTTCCAATTTTTTCCGGAAACTTTTAAAGTTTTTCTAAAGTTTTTGAAAGATAATCTTTTAATTGTTCTGCTTCAGTGTGATCATAATAGTCGTGATTCAAAAGCACTGATTTATTGAATCTGTAAAAAAATATTAGGAGTTTTGTTTTTCATGATGTTTGCATGATATTTCAGGTAATCGCTGTCCTTTAAAACTGTTAATTTTGTTTCAACTCTCAGCGTATTTGCTCTAAATCAAAAATATCTATTATGGCGGTATTTTGTTTCAAAATGTTGCTATCAGATACCCTACTCCTGAGGAGAGGGTAGTTCAGTGGAAGATTTAATGATGGTTTCTTGGATGGCTTAACCTCTCTCAGTCTTGACGAGGCCTTCTGAGATCCAATTAGCAGCAAATCTTTTTACGACCCACTTAATCTTTTTTGTTGAATTCAGCCAACTACGTTTTATAATTCACCATTTTTACAATTCATACACTTTTACTTTTCTAAAATCAGAATAAAATGTCAACAGAAATTGAAAAGTAAAAAGATAGTTAACTTAATGATATGCATGTTGCTTTAATTTTCTAAATTAAAGACTGGAAAAAAAAACGATACAAAAATTGGTCATTTTGGAAAACAATTTCAAAATCTGATTATCCGTCTCTGTTTTATATACGCAATGAGATGACTACTGGTACTCGGTTCTCTTTTAGTTAAATTTTGCCTGGTTTAATGCAGGTTTCAATGATTTTGCCATTTGAAACCGTATTATTGTTCTGTTAGACAATTCCAGATTTTTTCACAAACATGTCAAAATAACCGAAAGGAAGAAGGTGCTTGCTGTATAATTCAACGCGATGACTCTTTAGTAATTTAGGGTTTAACGTGTGGCACATTTAGCTTAAGAAGGTAATCACTGCATCTGATCAAAGTCTTTTTTTGTAAATATTAGAAGTTGAGGCTGATCGTAACCTTTCGCGGTGAGTTTTGCGAAGTCCAGATTAGATTTGGCCATTCCCTTTTTCATCTTCAGCTGTTCTTCACTTATGCTCTTCCTCTTCTGCAGAAGACTCTCCGACATCTGTCTCTTGAGGTCCTCGTGGGGTTTCACAGTGGGGTCGAACTTACCCGCCGGAGACTTCAGACCCGACTCCTGGTGCAGTTCAGTAATGGAGTTTTCACGCCCTCGTTCCGTTTCAAGCTGGGCTTTTTCGATTGGGTGCGAGACCTCATCTCCAAAGAAAACCTGCAGAAAAAAAGAGATACTGCGAGGTTTTGCTTGAATTAATACCAAATGTAATAAAATGTTGTCTTCATTTTATACAAAAGGTTCTTTACAGGGGCGGATCTAGGATTTTCCCAGCCCTCCCAAAACACTAAAAAGACCCCCTTATAGCAAAAAAAAATTGCGCCGCAGGCCAGCTTTTGAAAAATTACCTCTTTCGATTTGACCTTCTTAAACTCGCCCTTCTGTTGTCCGCTGGGTGCGGTAGCGAGTGCACTCTTGGGATGACTCATCTGTTCTTTCGGACTGGAGCTGTTGTTGGTGTTGTTAGATGACTCGACTTGCTCCATTCTCCGGTCTGTAGTGTGCACCCTAGAACACATTTCAATGTGAACCAAAAATAATCGGTTGTTCCGCAGGTAGCTCAGTATGTCCCAGTCTCTGTATTGCTTACTTTTTCTTTTGTTTATTTGAGATATTTGATTTTGAGTGCAAATAAAAACACGCCTGATCTCATTCTCATCAATAGGACAAATTTTTTGATATGCATAGAACCCCCAAAATAACCTCTTTTTGTTTCAAGTGTTTTTTTTGCAATTTTCCCAAATGTACAAGACTAATATATTAATTCAGCAGCGACGGGGCTAACATACGAGTTATTCAGCTCATTACGGGCACTGATGTTGATTTAGTTAACATCTACAATGTACTGTATTTGGCGTTTTAATGCACCGGAAATTTTTATTGCGAAAAATTTAGTGGGCCTTGAAAGTAACGATTTTTGGATTGAGAGCGCGGTTTGACAAGAAATGGTTATCCTACAATTCAAAACTATGGATACAACTCCCATCACACTGCGCAAAAAATCTATAGAATAACAAGAATGCTCGTATCAGGTTACTTAGATTGAATGTTCTTTGAGCATTGTGTTTTGAATGCTTTGAATGTTCAGATTCCTTTGTGTTTGATTAGTTTTCGATTTTCACAAACTGATAGAATTCGGAAAAAACGCGTCAATTTTTCAAGAAAAAAAAGTTCGTCTGAAAAGTTTATTCTAGCACACTATGTAAAATACGCAAATACCTATTTAAGTTTAGCTTCGAGTAAAGTATCAGTTAGAACATATAGCTCGCCTCAATTTTATTTTGAAGGCTCTTTGAGCCGAGCTAAATAGCTGTTCATTCAATAACAGAACGAAATAAATCCAACATTGATTACCACACATTAGTCAATTTTCATATACAACCACTATAATGTCAGAAAAATAATAACAAAGAAAATAGCTTTCTAAATATGAGCTTAGGACGTCAATGCTTTCCATTCTGAAAATATGATTATTGTTTTGTAATTTTATCTTGCCCAAAACTCACCAAACCAAAACAAAAAAATTTTTTAATAAAAAACCCCAGCATTTGAATTGACACTAGCTTCATGAAAAAACTGCAGATCAAAATGAAATCTTTTTCTGTAGCGTGTTTTTTAAGCATAAAAGTCATTTTGTTGCGTTTTTGGTAGTCATGTAAAAATGCGAATCATATAAATTTCCTGTTTGGAGACCAGTGAAGCATTTTTCCTGCATGGGAGCCAATTTTGCAAGTAGATATTTATCCATCTCTCTCATATTACGCAGTAATTATGAGAAAATTTCTGATATAAAACAATTTTTTTTCACTGAAACTTTGCTCAAAAGAGCTGATTTAATTTTTGCTTTGTTTTTAAAGTATACTGAATAAAACAACTTATACACTTGCGATGATTACACAAAAATAGTGTCCAAGATGTTTTTTGTTAGAATTTATTTTTAAGAACATAAGCTCGTTTGCTCGGGTTAATTACTTTTTATGATTCTAAGAAACAAACAAGAACGTTAATTTTATTATTCATATTTGTAAAAACTTGAATCTTTTCTTATTACAGCTCCATTTAGCGAACTAAATGTCCTCGAGTAAACAACTCACTGCACACGGACATAAATTTTTTTCCATTATTTTGTCGGGCGCTAACAATGGAAAAAATCGCAAAAAATGGAAGCAATTTTTTTTACAATTTGCTAAATAAACAGAGAAGCTGTTATTGTTCTGATTTTTGGAGAAAATGACAGAATATTTGTGCTCGGAGTGTCTTGTTTCTCCGGACCAATTTCTTTATTTCGTAACTTTTTTTAGCATCTGAGCGCTTGCAATGCATTGAAATTGAAAGGATTATTTACACGTAATTTTTTTTTGCAAAATTATGAGGGTTAGAAAATTGCCAGTTTGACCGAGAGATAGTTAAAACTCGAAATATTTCCTGCTTTTAACACGTAATTGACAATTTAATCTGCTCATAAATCATTCCAAATTGAATTGAGGCGAAACATTTTGTAATTGGCGTAGTGTGTATGGGTAAATTGTTGAAACAATCCGAACAAAAATTATTCGATATTTCCGAAAAATATTTCAACGACGTTGAATGGCAAACGGAACCGATTCGCCCTGATTCGAGCAGCTCCGTTTGTTTTTTCTATTTGATGACATAACAGAAGCTACCAAAAAATGTTTATTCAAGTTTTTTGAAACTGCCTCCAAGAGTATGAATCTGAGAAAGTTTGACACAGGAAAATGAAAAGCGGTATAAAATAATCATAATGAAAAGTAAAAATCTCCATGTCTCACTCAAGCGTAAACAAAGCGCCAATTGCAGAAATGGGCAGCAACACTTAAAAAATTTAGGAAACGATTTCTAAAGCTCAAATTTTATGTATTAAATTTTATACATGGTGATTATAATTTATCTGAATCAGAATTTTTGGAACTACCGATGATTATCTGTACAATTATCATTAGCTTTATTTTTTTCTCAAATTTTTATAAATTAACCTTATTGAACCATGATTGATGAAAAAACCTATTGAACTATAGTTGATAAACGAGCAAAACTTTTTGGCAACAAAATTGAGCAATTTCAAAATTAATATTGTAAGAAAATTAAAAGTACGTCCGCATTTACTTCCATAACTTTAAGTCAGCACTCAAATCAATTGTTTTTATGCTTTGATATGCGCCTGTTATTTGTTTAATAAAGGTTGTTTTGGCTTTATTCTATTTATTGTCTTGCCACATTTTTGCACCGAACACACTCAACGATTGATAGGTAGCTAATACCTACTACTAGTTGTTTATTGGTAAAACTTGAAATTTTACTTCCAAAACTTGTAGATACTAGTTAGAGTATCATTGAAATTCTTTATTGTTAATAGAGATTTTAAAAACGTCTTTCAAAAAAGATCGCTTCGTTTCCTTTATATGAACAAGAAATCAAACCATAGAGAAATTGGGAGATTAAACCATTCTGAAATTGCTTTTGGAGCTCTGACGGAGACTTTTTCTGCTCGAAACACAAGAAATCAGCTCGAAACAAAATATTCGAAAGACCAGAATTATTTAGCTTAAACGATTTTTTTTGAGATTCTCATGGATTTCACATTCTATTAAAATCTATTTAAATCGAATAATATTGAGGTAAAAAAATTAATCTTTATTCCATAAGAATCCCTTTTAATCCATTCTAAATGGTTTTCATATCTAAATCGAGATTTTCGAAATAAATCTAAAATTTGTCAAAGCCGGCAACCAAAAACTGATCAAGCAAAACGTACAATTTTCAATTTTATCAAAAAAACTGTTAGACCCTATTATAAATCTATTATAATCACAACTTGTTTATTCCGTCTACTGACACAAGGTAGGAATTTTGTCTTCTGGTGTTTTAATTTATTTTGTAATTTACAATGCAGACATCGATGAGCTATAATAATTAACAATCAGGACCGGTCGAGTGATAGATCATTTTCCACGTCTTTCAACCGTAAATCAAATTTGAGAAAATTTGCAAAAAATGTTTCTCTGTGTTGAGATAAACGGAGAAATTTTGAAAAAAGATCAGATTTTTATATTGTTGAAAGATTTTTTTAATGTTGCAATTCTTTTTTGAGAAAAATTGTGCTCAAATATGCCTAATATGTTATCCATTGAGTATGCCCACTTTCTAAGCTTTGGTTCAGATCTTGTCAACACAACCAGGGGCGGATTTAGGGGGGGTCGGGGGGGGGGGCGATCGGACGCCCCCCTCCCCCTCAGGGATTCGACCCCCTGCCGACCCAAAGGGTCCCCCCTTTGATACTTTTTAAGAAATCCATTTTTGGCCGACCGGCCCTAAAAGTTTTCTAAAGGCGCCTTTGGCGCCAATATATACTAATTTTGAGGGGGGAGCGCGCGCCGAAAAAAACGCAATTTTTCGGTCAAACTTTTCCAAAAAGTGCCTAAAAACGCCTTTTTTGACCTGTTTTTCAAAATTTTGCCTGCGGAGCAAAAAATTTGGCCAAAATAGGGACAAAACCGTGCTTTGGGAGAGCTCGAAAAATTAATTTGGTCGACCTAAAAAGAAAAAAAAGGTCGTCAAAATTTTCGAAAATCCGCCCCCCCCCCCCCCCCCCTCGAGAAAATCCTAGATCCGCCCCTGAACACAACATGAATATAGACCACATTATTTAACAAAACCCTCTACTTTTTAGTTTTTTTATTCTGTTCGGAACTTTTTGTGCTGTTCGCAATTCTTTGACAAAAAGCCGGCTAGTCTTCTTCATGTTCTCAAAATATCATTTAGTTTGAAAAGTTCATTTGCTTATTACTAACTATGTTTGAAAATTTTGGTTGTTGCTATTATTGATGATCGAATCATGACTTGGAATTTTATTTGCTTAAAAAAAGTTCTTTTGGTAATATTAGGTTTGATAAAGAAAATTTTTGCTATCATCGATGATCGAATCATGACTTAAAGTTTTTAAAAAATAAGAGATGGTCTGGTTCAAACGACAAAAAGCGTCATAGTATCAGAGGGAGGTCACATACATGTCGACCATAAAAAAGACAAAAATTTTTTAGATAGAAAACCATCTGCTTGATAGCCAAAAAAGTTAGAGATTATCATTCAAACTTATAAAAGTGATCTGTTTGTAATTTTCTTCTTGTTCTCCATTAACTCGCACTTTGTTAATTTAAAATAAATTAATTTTTAGTAGAAAGTTTTAAATAATTAGATGATAAGAAAATTTGGGTGATATATTTGAGTGATAAACAGATGTTCAAACTTTTAACATGATAATAGTTCTAGTAATCATTCATAGAGTTTGAAATATTTATTTCCGAATAGACAAAAAAGTACTTACCTTCTGGTATGAAATTGTGAAATAAATGAACAATCAATTGAAGTACTGGTATACTTATCCCGTTTCTTTTATTCAACGCTGTACTAACTTGGATGAATCTGGTAAACCAATCATATCAAATGAAATGAAATGCTATGTATACATAACTAAGACAATTTCAACATTT